TCCCCAGCCACCCATGCTGACTGGGGAATTCTGGGAGTTGAAGTCCACTCAACTTAAAGTGGCCAAGTTTGGACAACACTGATTTATGCACACCATGCATACCTATCATTCTATTCTCTTTGGAGGTAAGTAATATTATTCAAAGTGCAGAGAAGGGGTAAGAAATAGCAAGCAAAAGAAATTAAAGAGGTAAGAAATGTAAAATAGCTGAATTTAGTTTATACCCACTACCACTCACTATATCCCTTCACACTGTTCTAACTTTGCTTCATATTTGACTCATATTTGTCCTTTAGCAGAGGAGCAAATATACCTAATCCTTCCTGCCACCAAAATTATCCACTGCAGCCTGAAGACAGCTCGTGACCTGGCTGGACAAATGCTGAGACTCAAACAATTTGGCAAGACCTATTGCTAGGCAGGTCTGTCAGTGGGCTGGGTGGGCCATTTTAGCCCACTGTAGAACTTTTAAAATAAAAGAAAAATATAACAGATATTCCTTAGTAATGTTTACATAGGAAGTATACTCAACATGCTGTTTTATTTAATTGAAGATATTGTATGTAACTATTTTTTAAAATACAGTTCTGGCTCCCACATGCTGTTGTTATCCAGTGAAAATAGTAAATTTTGAGTCCAAGTTAATGTCAAATAAATTTGAATGGAAATTTGAGGCAGACTCTTCTCATGCAATGGTTTCCTAGAGAACAAAGCTATAAAGTGGGAATAAACAGATCAGCATCTGCATCTGCCCTGGTTATAAATTTAGAGTGTCCCTCTGGAAATATCACATTTCTGCTAGAGAATGTTTATCTTCGAAACCTCACAATATGTTCCTAGATCAGGAAACCTAAGAAAAAAGAAAAAAGAAAGAAAGAGATTCTTTTCCCCCCCCCCTACATTTACAGAAGACTACTAACTCATGAAAAAAAAATCTGCCTTTTAACCCCTGAGCTGGTGCTGACCGGAGGGAGAACAGGATCTGAGCACTAATCCTGCTTCATTCAAAATTTAGTCACTGTTACACCTAGAAAAAGAGAAAGGGGTAAGTGTTGGTTTACCTGGGGCCAATCAGAGCTGGAGTGTGCTCCCGATTTTCCCTCTTGTTTTCTGTTCAAAATTGTAAAGCTGGGTAGGGATTTTTGCATCAGAACAGATCTAAAGCAGTTTGCTTACAAGGAAAAAGGGGCTTAGGCTCATCTACTGAAGCTAAATTTTGTGAAAATATAGGAATAATAACTGAATATATTTCTTTCTATTCTATAGTTGAACTAGTGAATTCACTGTCATGCAATGTAATGACAGTTATTAATTTAGTTGTTTTTTAAAAGGAGATAGCTACCTTCATAGGAAGAAGGACAGAGCAATCAATGAGTTGATGGCTGGATACAGCTTCTGGAATCAAAGAAGCATGCACAAAGGGGAGTGCTAGCTTGTCTTGAACCTTGAAGACTACCTCAAATTAATTTTAAACAAAGCCACTACTTTAGGACATCTTCATCTTGAATCTTTAAGTCAAGGACAAGAATAACCTATAGCAAGTGACTGAATATATGGCATATGTTTTAAAAAGACATGCACCCTGTTCCATTGCATCCTCAGCCAGTCATGGACCATCATTACATGTATTGGAGAAAAAAGAAAATGGCATTACCGCTGTTACCTGAAGTTCCCTTGTTTCATCTTCAGCGGCTGATGCATGGTAAGAAAGCACCTACAGGAAAAGGAAAAAAAGGCCCTAATCTTTCAGCAATACTTAAATCAGTAATAATAAACCACTCTCTCAGTAATGATTCAGTGTAACCCAAAGTAAGGAAGTAGGGTAAACTGTCTGCCGATGTTTGCAAGCTATGATTCATAGACATGAAGTATAGACGCCTTCACTCCCAAGCACAACTTTTGCAAGAGTAACTAGCCCAAAGTCATTCAGATGGCTTTGTACCTAACGCAGGAACAGTGTCTCCCTGTTTCTGACCTGATGTCTTTCACCACTTCACCAAACTGGCTCTCCTGCTATCCGTGGTTAATGTTAATTAATATATTTCTTAAAAAATGATTTGAAAACAGCATTTAATGTGGTTTTGCAAATTAATAATTTTAAAAATTTGATTCAGAACCAATTCTAAATCATGGTTTAGCAAGTTAGAGAAGGATAACTCATGCTGGGTGAGGATTTCATGTTCCTAATGATGGTTCTTAAACCATTTTTTGTTAATTACTAGCATTACCTTGGAAGTAATGGCAGTGCTTTGGATGATTCATTAGTAGCAAGAATTGGGAAATTTAATCATTCTTGTATCTTCAATGTTCACTGATACGCAACAGTAAAATTAATTTTAAATGCATAGCACTGAAACAACAAATACTTAACTATTTCTTTAATAAATCAAAATACATGTTTCTGCTTGTTCTTTTCATATATTAATTCAAGACAGAACATTATGATCATATTACTAGTCACTGCTAGCACAGAGGACTCCTGAGGTCAGCCATAGGGAAAAAAGTAACATAATTGGTTTAAATGAGCAAAGAACTATTTGTCTTTTATGAAAAACAGCTGAAAATCTTCCATGCACCTATATGAATGACAAACAGCTTGCAACTTTGCTATAATTATAATCCTAACAAAATTGTCATAATAAATTTTCTTTTTCCAAAGGTTTGTAAGACAAGCATACAAGAAATTCTGTCTTAGGAAAATCTTGGCAGAAGTTTTGTCTGTGTAAGAGAAAATATTTTTAATTTACTGAACAAAATGAGAATTATTTAGAGGTGTGAGTGAAGGAGAGAAGAACAGAGGAACTGTTCAGGTTGGATTTGTGTTTAACTGCCACTGCATGCAGCTGAAATTATAACCTCAATCTATAGCACTTTTTTTCATAAGGATATATTTTTCCACTAAACTGTTAAACTACTTGAATTAGTGGAGTGCAATACACTCAAGACTTCGTCAACTAATTTTCACATACTTTAATGAGAGGATGCTATAATTCAGTGCAGTCAGTACACCTAAATACAGTTGTACATGAAAGCTTTCCCTTCAGGGCCAGTGGTAGAATCTGAATTTTAGAATTATTGTACTTTATTTATAATGTTGATGCAAAGGCAGCCAACATCTACATTATCTAATTTCTTAGGTTACTTTGGAAGATGGTAAGAGCACATCAGGATCCCCTACTGGCATCTCACTCATACCACGTTCATTAAAATTAATGGTAACCAATTCAAAAGCTAGGCAAGATGACATCCCTCCTTGATATGGTTTGATGAAGTTAGAACCCTACAGTAATCTTGCTGTTGCTTTAGGTATGGCCTTGTTTGAAGGGCTAAGCCAAAATCAACACGGGAAACCACAGACAGGAAAGAGATGTCCCAGTGCCACAACCATGTCTTTTTTAATGCAAGAAGACAAACCACCTATATTGGTCACTCTTGCCAATATGTTTAGGGAAGGCAGTATTTGTGTTCACTGCTGAACCCCAGGACAGCAATAATCCACCAGTGCTGTGCAAGCACATGGAGATACAGAAGCAAACAGTCAATAAAGGAGATCCTCAGTTGGAAGCTGAGCAACATTGGGCTTGCTTTAAAGTCAGCAAGAGAACTCCAATAAAAAAACAGCTGTGAAAGTACATAAAGGCTGCCTCGATTTATTCTTACCTCCAAGGTCACCATTTGCTTTGCCATGGCTCTTTCCACAGCTTCATACATCTGGGTGTTCTGGATCCCTAAGCCACAGAAGATAACAAAAGCTTCCAAAAACTGCTCATCGTTTCTATTGAAAGCTTTTATTTTGCCTGAGTTTTCTTCCATCTTGTTTGCAAGTTGACAAACTCCTGGGTCATAATAAAAATAAAATAAAACAAAAAGGTACCTTTGAAAAAAGTGGGACATTGGTTAGCATTAATCACACATTTATATTAAAAGTGTAACCTTTCTTCATAGAAAGAAGTAATTAGAAATTTATCATTTAAACCTTTAACTGGTCCAAGATCTCAGACAGAAATTACATATTCTGCCAGTCAGCCACAACATTTTTTAGAACATTCATTTAGGCTGTGCAGAAGCAGCAGTTTGGTTTTGAATCTTCATGTATTCTTTTACATACTTTAATTCAAAAAATTTAGCAAGCTTCATTTGAGTCAATGGTGCTTACTTCTCCTTAAATAGGCATGGGAGCTTGCTGTAAACAAAGCATCAAATTGAACCTTATAATATCATCTTCTACTCATACCAAGTCTTCATATCCATTTTCTTCTTGGCTTTTACTATTAATAGGCCTTTAGTTTGATGAAATCCCTAAAGACAATTTGTCCTTTACAAACTCATTAAACTTCTGTAAGCATGCCAAAATACTGTAATGAATAACAGGTTAGCACACCCAGGGCTTGTACATTCTTATTTGAATATTGCAAATTATCTGCATATTAATCTGCATATTAACTACAAATATCACTAGTTTATGAACGGACTGGTTATCTGCTGTATCCAAGTAGGTCTCTGGGTATCATTCACTGTAAGTGCTTAATGTAGCACTTTTCTTTGATTAGGAATATAATTTGGAAACGCTATTATCTGGAAGTACAACAGATCCATGAAATTGTAGCTCAACCAAGAATTTATCCATATAAGAACTCATCACAGGTCATCCATCACCTTTCAGTTTAAGAATATTTGGTTAAAGAAGCAAGCGTGGCTGAAATTATCCATGTTAATGGATAATTAGAAGACACTGCTAATATAAGTATATATACACGCTCACAAAAGTCATAATTATAAGCATCCCACAGAAACAAAGCAAATGGAAAAATACAGATAGGATTGAAAATAATATGTAAGAACTCCTGAATGCCATCTAAAGAATATTTAAACAAATACAGTATCTTTATCATATAAATATACACAGGAAGAGTGCACGAGAGCCTTATATTTTATTCAAAAGTGTAGATAAACCAGGTGAACGGTTCAAGTGGCACTGGACTGCAAGTAGGATGAAGTTTAGTGTACATTACAGATCTAAAACACTTATTGCTAAAAGTTTACCATCAGAATATAATCATGAATTTCACAAATTCATCCTGTTTGTGACATCCAACTTCATTTGTCATTACATTTGTGTAAATATACCTGATTACTTAACTGACCTGGCAGCAATCTCCAAATCCTACAGCATAAATAACCAGGCATTTCTTATCTATGTTATACAACCTTCTCTGTCCAATCACACTGATGTAATTCTAACTGGCCATAGGTGAATGACCATTTTGATACTCAAACTAGATTGCACAATGTTTTCCTCATTCTGACACAGGGACAGGGAGGAAAGAATAGGCATTTTTTTAAAAAAAACACAGTCATTTTCCAACTTCTTTTCAAGAAAAGAATAACTTGGATTAAAAAAAAAAACCTACTGAAATCAGGAGAAGTTTCAGTAATTAAAATTGCTTGCTTGCTTGCTTGTTTATTTTATACTGTGCTTATCCTTCAAGAGCTCCAAGTTGCTTACGTGAGATCTCCCTTCATTTTATCCCCACAACAAACTGATGAGACCAGTTGGGCTGAAAAAGAATAACTGGCCCAAAGTCAGTTTTTTGATGAGTGACACTGGAACTGAACCGGGGTATCCTCAGTCCTAGTCCAACACTTTAATCACTACACTGGCATTTGGCATGGCTTAAAGATGCTGAGAATAAGGTGGTATGATTACCAAGTGACCACGCATGCTAATTTTATTTTATATGCGTGCTAATTTTATATGCATGCTAATTTTTACATTTTCAAAAATTATTACTTATTTATTTAGAATATTTATATGGTGTCCAACTCAAACCATGTGACTGGGCAGTGTATAAGATCATGAAACAAAAATACAAAAGAAGAATTATACATGCCACTAAAAGAAAACAAGATAACTAAATGGTGATCAGAACTAAAATTTGTTGTATTCTACCAAAAGGGAGCTCTGCTCACCCTAACCCAAGCAGCCAGGTCTTAACTACCTTCTAAAGGGTTAAGGGTGGGAGATTGTTCTAAAGGGCAGACTCACCTCCTGGATCCCACAAGGTGACCATGTTTCAGAGAGGGACCCGGAGTTTGTCCTCCCTGTTAAAGCATGTGGGATGGGCAGATATCCTAGGGAGAACGTGGCACTACAAATAACCTGGTCTTATACCATGCAAACTGGTAACTATTCTTTTTTTATGAGATTTATATCCTGCTTTATTTTGAACAGTTTAAGGTGGCATACATAATGCTCCCGACTCTTGTTTTCCCCACAACAACCACTTAGGTGAATTGGGCTGAGAATGACTGGCCTAAAGTCA